AGTATACAATTAAATAAAATTAATGACAACTCAAAACAAGGCATAAAATTCAAAGTCTAACTCTTAAATGAAAACGAAAGCATTAATTCATTTCGTGATTCAAAACATTAAAAAATGTGATGAAAAAACTTATATCGTTTTGTCGAGAAATAACAGATTATTTTTGAGAAAACATGAAGTGTTTGACTAAATTTGTACTTAAATTTTAGTGGCAAACAATTTATTTGTGGCAAACATTTCACTCACGAAAACTAACACAAAAAGATGAAATCATTAGACTTTTTTTTTGAGTCTTAAACACTGGGTTTAAGTTCAAGGAATTGGAAAATATGTCAAAGATTTAGACACCAATAGACGAGACCAATAGATAATACCGGAAAAATAAGCTCTCGTTTTATAGAGAGTTCACATCAACAAAAGTTTTTGATGCCATTAATAGCCACTTAAATGTCTGTACTGTATATCGCATAAGAGATTATCTTCCAGTAAAAGCCCATTAAACTCGTGGCAAATCTATCACAGAAAAAATAATTGACAAATGATTTTTAATGGGAAATGATAGCACATTAATACTCGTATATAACAAGTGATTCATTGTCTGGGATTAACTTATAGAAGATGTGATTATCCGCCAGTATTTTGATAAAACATTTTCAACACTGAATGCAATATTTCACTTTTCAAAGATACAGTATTTCTGAATATTTATACAGTATTAATTATAAAATGAGTAAAACATTTAAATTAGTTTATTTTACTTTTATTAATGTTTATGGTTTTTACACATGTTTGCTATTTCATCGCAATTTGTTGTAATTTTATTATAATTTTAAATATTAATTTATTTACAAATTTAAAAATTAATTTCCTAACTAAACAATTGATTGCCTAAACTATTTGCCTATCAATTAATTTAGCATGATTAATTTTTTGTTTATTTGGTGTAGAGTTATTGCAAATGACAACGAGCCAAAGTAGAGCACTGGCAATGCCCAGACAGCCCAGGATGTAAAACAGTATATCGTAGTGACCCGTCCTGTCCTTCACGCCTATAATTAACACAAAAATTGTATTCATATAATAAATGTGAGACTTATAACAATTACTTAATACAAAAATCCAAAATATATGCCAACTATTATTAGTTTAAAATTTGCATTAATTTTTTTCCTACAACAAACCATTGACAGATTCATAACAGCGATCAAAATAACGCTATTCAACACATGATATATTGAGAGCATTACCTATAAGTAGTGGTCTAAATATGATGGTAAGAGAACCGCACATAAAGTTTGATAAACCAAACGCTACGGCCGTGTTATCGGCGCCCAAATACTCGGACAACACGACCGGCGGTAAAACCATTTGACATCCGGTGACAAAACCGCAGACCAGAGTGAGCGCCGCAAACGTCGGGAAACTGTTGGCAAAAGGCATCGCCAGTAGTGTTAATCCCATGACACCGATGGACGAGACGAAGATGTTTCGGTTGCTAACGTAGTCCAAGTATGAGATCCAACCGGGGATTAGACGGCCAAACAGGTCCGTAATCGAGTACAGGGATAGCAATACCGTTCCCTCGTGTGCTTTAATTTGCAGACAAAATACAAATACATTTTAATTTAATGCAACTATTTATATGTTATGTCAAGTGAGCGACTAATCCGTGACATCTTTTTCTCTCTCAATGAGGACATCGCCTCTTATTTTCAATGTATTTGTTTTTATAGATGAACAACAAATTCGGTATTCATTTATGAGAGAGAGAGAGAGAGAGAGAGAGAGAGAG